TTCCTAATCGTCCGGCTGCCGATTAGGGAAAACCTTACATTTTGTCCTGTATGCGCCCCATACAGGACAACCACCCGAAATAACCACCCGATAAATACTTTTCTGGGAACGTATCTTTAAAGATGGGTTCCTAGAAAAGTATTTATCGGGTGGTTATTTCCAATAAAATTATGGCACTTTTGGTATATATGAAAAGTAGAGATATCCAATCTTACTAGAAAAATACTGGGTTCCCCGAAAAACACTCATGGAGCGTACACAGGACAAAAATGTAAGGGTTCCCCTAATCAACAGCCCGACGATTATGACCTTCTGAACGCACGATGTCAAAGGTCACAAGCGAACATTGAGCGCTTGATGTACAAGTTGATAAACTTAATGAAGAGTTAGACGTACAATACTTTCTGAGATAAAAATGACGGAAAAAGAGGCGGGTGGGGATAATCCGAGAATTTAATTAGGATTCGATATTTGTAATAAATAGTAAGCGATTAAAGACAACATCGTCTTATGTATGCAATGATTTCTCCTCTGACTCCCAAGACGTGACGTAAACATGACCTGGTTTGATCGAATTTTAATAGCAGGGCATTCCTTCGCAATTACAATGTTTGAGAAGGATTTGAAGCATAATTATGACAAATTAATTAGTTTGAATATGTTTTTGGTCCATTTATACCATTAAATCACCCAGTTTGTACGCGGGAACCCATCTTTAATCTCCACCGAATCTTACCAACTGACAACCCCATTACATAGAGGATATTTGTCGTTTTAGAGTGAATAACATATTTTATTTCATCGAGAAGCAAGAAAACTTATATTTTCACGAATGCGTAGCATGAGTGAAAATATAAACGTTTTTTTGCTTTGAGATGAAATAAAATATGTTATTCACGACAAAACGACAAATGTTCTATTTATTTTATGATTTTACAATCATTTTAGGTAAAAACAACATGGACTATTTCAGCCAGTGGAATAACACTTTTATTTCACTGATAAAACGCGGTATTCCACTACTGATCATAAAATAAATATACATATTTCGGCCAGAGAATGTCCATAGGGAGTGAGGAGGGGAGTATTAATTTCTTTCAGTTACTATAAAAATGAGAAAAATAGGATAGGCAACCAATGCAATGTGAATTTAAAAAAAAAAATCGGATCGTATAAATTGAAGATTATAATAGGAACTACTGTAAACGTTACTATCGAAAATCATGGTAATTACACTGTTAAAAATATTTTGGTTATTTTACCATCAAATTACGGGCAGCAAAAGTTGCCCCTAAATCATAGGTAAAATTACACCATTAGTTATTTAACAATTTACTGTAGAAGGACATAATCTGTTAATTTACATTTCTTGTAAAAATACATCACAATGTTAATTTACATTTCTTGTAAAAATACATCACACTGTTATTTTCACTTTTGTTAAAAATACTAATATTGGTAATTTTACATGCAAGATTCGAGCAATAGCCCCGGTGTAAAATATTTCGTATTAATATCACTTCAATATATATTGAATATCGATAATCCTGTTTGGTAGACGAGAGCATGGTTCCAGGCTTTCAGATGTAAGCTTCGCGGTACTATCTATTTGCAGCCATTATAACCCTGCTTTACAGACAGTCCGGCTCAACTAACACTGGCCAATCGGTTTAAATTACCGTCTTCAAGTGAACCTGAAAACGAGATAATACAACCTACGGCCAGAAAGTCAAAACATTTTTTTTTTATGCAATTAAGAAAATACTTACAAACTGATTAACGTACGCTAAATATCAATACACTTTATAGATCTTATAAATAATGGAAACTAGATATACATGACATGCAATATACTAAATTTACAAGATGTGATTGTCCATATTATGGTTAATAAATTGAAATGAATACCATAAGAAGATAATTATTAGAAATGTTTCGTTTCTATGGAATACTAAAATACAATAAGAGATAGTAAATTTACCGAATAAGTAAATTTACAAAATAACGTGAATAAACGTAAGTCTGTAAAATGACATGCTGGCTATGTTATTTTCCGTTCAATATTTTAAGGTAAAAACAAATTCTTTAACTGTTGTAATTTTACTTATATTTCTTACCTAAAAGTAAATTACATAATAATGTGAACAAACGTAAAATCTGTAAAGTAACACGCTTGCTGCGTTACTTTCAGTTCAATTTTATTACAATATATGTATTTTTACAGGATTTTGAATATGTCTTTGATTCCATCGCCACTTATTGTCAAAAAGACATGAAACTCGATAAACATACTTGAAACTCGGTAAAAATACATTAGACGTGGTAAAAGTAGTATATGTTGTAAAATATACCGATAATTGAGGTACAGAAAACCCTTGTACTACTGTAATTTTACATACATTTCTGACAGTTTACCTGGTGGTTGTCGTAACATCATTTGCTATTTGGTTGTGGACTTCAACGGTCACTGTTAATTGGTTGTGTGTTGAGAAATGTTAACAAAAATATTTCAAGGTTTGCTTTCATTTATACTATTGAATAAAACATTTCTGTGATTTCAACATTTTACGACAACCAATTTGGGCTACGGTACATCTTCCTATAGTTTGAATACACTGGACATTACTGTATTTTGACGTTACGTATGTAAAAATAAATTATTTCACGGTAAAATCACCTGTATAATATGTTTTTTTTACGACTATTTGTACTATCACTCCTGTTTGGTGTAATAAAACATACATACGTAAAATAACATACAACTACGTAAATATTTTACCACTTTCTTACGGTAAATTAACGGTGTGTTCCCACTTAGCCGGCAGGCTGTTAATCCTTTGATTGATCTTAAAACTATAGTCTATTTAAAAGTAGTCACTCAAGAACTGTTCACTAGTGTTCAGCGTTAATGAGCTCTTAATCCCACTTAATAAAATTTATTAACCAACTAATTAATGACATTTTGAACACAGTTCATGCCGGCGGTATGATTTCAAACATGAATTCAATTCACTATATTAATATAAATAGATGGTCGATCTTTGTCGAAATTATATTTATTTTAAAATGGCAAACGTTCAGGATAATATTCGCTTTATCTCCAATAATCGAGGTGGCCGATATTTAATACACAATGGTTACAAGTTCAGTATAAAGTCAAGCAGACCAAATGCCGTCCATTGGAAATGTTCAACAAAAACTTGTCCAGCTACTGTAATGCATTTTTATATGTGTAAATCATTTAATGTTATTTAATAAATATTAAATTTGTTAAAATCAATATATTTTTATATGGGTACGCTATTTAATGATATTTAATAAAAGTTAAATTTGTTTAAATCAATACAGTTTTAGTCTTAAAAAACATATGGACTATAGTTTATAACACCATTGTTCTAGGATTAACTCTGGATTAGCGGCAAAATTTGACATCAAAGCCTGCCGGCTAAGTGGGAACACCCCAAATTAACATTTATTTCTAACAGTTTAACAGGGGTATTATTTAAAGTAGCTAAGCCTTTAACCCAATATCACCCACAGTCTTCGATATTGAAAAGAGAATGATTTGTCAATTTAAATCAACAATGATGTTACCGGAAAAAGATTTTCTTCTGATATCCAATATTTAATACAAAATAAACATAATGGCATTGGTACACGAACCGAGTACCGGAATGCGTTTCAGCGCCATTTGTAACAAGCCACAAGGGACTCGAAGAACGAGGCTAGACATGTTCCACAAGTCATGTCAAACGGTGACGTTATATTCTTATCAGCAGAGAATGCGCAATAAATACTACCGGTGTTGATTGAAATAGCCAGACGCTAGAGATTGCCATTCGATTGAGACTTCTCGCGTATTTCGCCGAACATAACTGATTTGAAATTACAGTAAAAACGGAAACGACTGGATGTAAATCAGTTTATAATTACTATATGCGTTGCAGCCCATTTGTGTAAATTTCTAGGTCACAAATATTAGCGATTTAGCTCCTTTAACTACGATAGACAAACACATATTTAAAAACAAATACATGTATGTATATTATTTATATATATATATAGCCTCTAGTGCAGTGGTTCTCAACCTTTTTTGCCAACGGCATACCTTGGAACACATGAAAAAAATAGCGGCACACCTGGCTAAATATATATGAAAACTATTTGAATTTTGCAAAATAAAAACATGGCAAGTCAAAGCCGGCATACAACCGTAGGCACAGACTAGTCATAGACACATAGAATGACTCAAACTAAATAAAGAAAAACACAGCTACGAAGTTGCTTTATTGTAGTGTTTCGAATTCCATCACTTAAATAGCTGGCTTCTTTAGTGATAAATTTTCTTAGTGTTCCATTCAAAATTTCGCGGCACACCTGTATGCTCTTGTGCATAACAAGAATTTTAATGCAAACGACCAACGCAGTATTTGATTTTATTCATTGGTGGTCCACATACAAGGTTTAGTATATCATGCATTAAGTATTAAGGATTGTGATGGTTGGATTTAACACAACGATGGGGCTGGGGGTACTAATTCTTGCCACGCCACTCGTGTGACTAGTTTATTTATATATAACTCACGTTTGTAACGTAACCCCAAATTTAATCAAAACTAGATCGCGAACTAAATATTTGTCTTTTTTGTTCTCGTCTTTTCTAATGTGGCAGTAATTTCTTATTATGAATAATCTGACCTCCTTTCGCAGTTTCAGACCAGAGGAATTATCAGAGAGCGGAAAATCGTCTGGTTAGGTTATAAAACTCTTCACACCAGCCGGAAAACATGCGCTGCGAACAGACCACCATTGCAAATTCCGCCATTTTCCCACAGCAAAACATAATAACGAAACTATTACCCATTTACAAAATATCCATTTTCCGTCTATTTATCAACCGTAGATAACAAACGATTGCAAAATTAGCTATTCAATGTTATAATATTTTACCCTTTCAGATAAAGGTGTTAGCTCTTATAATGATATTAGAAATAGTTTACCTGAACTTATGGTTAATAATTATTTCTTCCAGTTGGTAATTTAATCTTGTGTAATTGAAACTATGAACGACTAAAACGAACGCCACAATCAGTGACGGTATAGACTGAACACCAATTGTTATTGAAGAATGTCCCTCTTTCAATGTACATGTAGGCCTAGATGTTATAACCTGGATGTTGACACAGCTCAACAAGTTAGACCAAAAAATAATAATACCTGTGTATACGGTTACTTGGCCCAAACAAAATAATAGGATGGGTCGGTCGGTCGTTGCGATTGGATAGTTACCTGACTTAAAGCCTACATTGATACTTGTATTTCATCTTGCTGTATCATTTTTTTTTTATTATTATTTATATTCTAGCAATTCTAATTTAATCATCTATTCTAATATGCTGGTGATTTAAATTGTTTAATCTTACAATTTTATTGGTTTACTGATGTAAAAATGTAAATGTGGAAAAAGAAGGCAGCAAACTTGCATGACAAATTCAACCAGCCAAGTAGACCAAGCCCGTAGCTAGCCCCAAAATGTTGGGGGTGGGGTAGGGCAAGGCCTTCTGCGGATTGATGCACTTACTCTTGACGGTCCATTCATAAAAAGGATTGACTTTTAGGAGGTAAGAGAAATCGAGAAATATAGAAAAAGTCCGTGCATTCCCTTGTTATGTTATGTTATGTTACGTGAAGATTGAACTTAGCAGAACTGTCAGTGGTTTTATTACCAGACCATTCATTCGTTTGTCACTAATCCCGAGATTAGGTTAATTTCTTTGAAGAATCTTCTGCTGGTATGCTAATCCCCTGCATGACTTACTTACCTTATTACATATCGTCGGATTTTCTCCTTTGTTTTTTATCATTACTATGGTCTCTGGATAAACAATAAAAAAATAATTTAACATCTTATTCATCAAAGACATTTTGAGGGCAAACATCAAATTCTTTCCAATGGCAAAAGTATATAGTGTGTACAGAGTAAACATATAACCGTATCGGTTCCTGACAAACAATATAACGCTACATCCACCAGGGCATAGTTTGTACGGCCAGGGGCACTTTAACGAGTTGGTTGGTAACTCTTCAAACTTAAGAGTACGGTATTCAATAATGGATTGATTTATGGGAGTTTATTTTGTTTTAATATCTATTGACACGTACAATTATCACAATCATTGATGTCCTCGACTTCATAGATTGTTCAATAATTCTCATCCCATCGGTATTCTCTCAGGACAGTAATATCGTCCACTATCGATATGATCTATACGAGTCGACGCCTCGACGGAGAAAAGGATCCAATCAATCCGGTTTTCTCAGGATCGTATCGATACCGCACTATTTAACCCCAGTTTCTTGAAATAAGGATCTGTCTTCTGCCTTCGATACCGTCGAACTCAATATTCTTTTGGAAAGACTGCATACAGGCCATGGAACAACTGAGAAAAAAAATGCGAATAAAACCTCGATCAGAAGAAATAAAATGTGAAAAATTGCAAAAATAAAATGGCACCCGAAAAAAGAAACTGTTGGCAAAATAAATCCAACTGAAAGATGTGTTTATAATTGATAAAACCTCCATAAAATTGATTGAATACGGTGAATAATAAAATGTAGCCCATACCGCCAGTTTGAAATGATTCGCAATTTTTTTCTGATATTCAAATAAAGGTTTTCTAAGTTCCAGATCCCCAAGTGGTTACTATGAAATTTAAATTGTAACAAGGACAGCGGCTCTTTCCCTTCCCCATCACACGCTTATTTCGATTTCCAACTGTTAGGAAATCCTTAACGTGATGTCAAACTCAAAGAGTATACAAAGCACCTGGGCTTTTCTCCCCGTCCTTTCAACTAATGATGTAAAAAAAGAGAGTTAAACAAACAAGGCGTCACCGGGTCATACAAAAAGACGTGTAGAACAAATATTGACACTGTATACAGATAAAAGTTACACACAATACAGATTTCAAACATCCAGTAATACCAGTAGCGGATTATCAGTGAGGCTGATGAGGCTGCAGCCTCAGGCCCAAAGATTTTGTAAAAAAAATTTTTTAGACTTGTCTGATACGATTAAAAACGCATATAAGACAATGAATGTTAGGGGGGGGGGGGTAGGCCCAACGGGAATCAACATAGGCCCTCACCCGAAATTAATTAGGCCCACGCCATTTTAAATAGGCCCTATTGTTTGGAGATCTGATCTTATTTTTTAAACGTAGGCCTACAATGTACGTTAAATCCTTGTAAGTTTTCGGTTATGTCTTGCTTAATATATTGTATCCACGTGGCGTCATTTATGGGCATATAAAGTTACATTACCAATATCAAACGACTTTGGCTTAAGAAAAAATATCTAGCAAAAGATCTTGCGCTAGTTTCGATGTAAACACCCCATCATGAGGAAATATTATCCTTGAAAATAGGTGTATGTACAGTTGGTTTCCGGTGACGTGTCTGCTGTCAAAGCATTTTGTACGACAAATTTCAATAGTTATAACTAATATTTTAATAATATTATAACCTCAGTAACGAATCCCGTTTTTAATGTTAGCAACTACCTTGGCTCTAACTTTAAAAACTAAATAGGCCTTCCAGCAACTGCCGCCTCAGGCCTTGGTGGAGCTTAATCCGCCACTGAGTAATACTGTAGTAGTGTATATTTTCATATATTATTTGCAAACGTATTTAATTAATAAGATTTAATTTGCGTATTTTATTTTAAAACTAAAGTAAAATTTCTTTGCTGACGTTGATAGATAACAGCGCAACTCTGTTATATAAGAATATTGACGTATTAAAGAGACACTAGAAGAGTCCTTTATTGTATGTTATTTTAGTATGCTTTTAAATATGGTTTGATGGTCGACAGCCAGACGTTAAGTAATATATTGATACTTCACGAGGCGTAAGCCGAGTGTTGTTTCAATATATTACGCAATGTCTTTAGCTCGAGACCATTAAACAACTTAAAATACAGACACTATCCCACACGTGCTTTTCAATGAAATACGTCACGCGAGTCCAATATTTCATCTAGTATAGATAATGTACGATTGGCAATAATGGTACGCCAACATCAAAGGATGACGTCACATCTGTATTTTACGTATAATTAATGGTGGCGCGTAAGACTTTTCAAACAATACGCTGGGGTGACTGAAGGCAATAAAATTACTCAATATGACACTTGAAAGATCGAGTAAGGCTAGTTTGGTTTTTAACCAATCAATGACCAAGCATCCACCAATCAAATTACTTGAAAATAGGCGATTTATTCAAGCCCTTAAATTCGTCGTCACTTGAATAAATTATACTTTTAACTTATGTACAATATTGGAACTCTATACGGTAACAATTACAAGAAAGAATGTATATTATCAAAGAACCGTACAGCGCAGCTACTGCTTTTTATTGTTTGGTATAGAGCAAAAAAAAAAAAATGAAATGAAATGGGGTTTAACGTCCTACTGTTCTGCTCCTAACCTGGGCTAATGAAGACGGGCATACGCCATACAGTGTGCTGTGAGGGAATTTTTGCCCGGACAGCGGCACTACGGCCTACTCTTATATCGAATTCCAACTGCCAAGGGATCTTTTACGTGCACGCCAATGTGTACACGGGACCTCGGTTTTTCGTCCCACCCGAACGACTAGACAGCTTTCCTTGTCAGCCCCTCCGTCCTGCATCACTGACAAGGGAGAACCACGCCGGAAAATCTGGATGAACTTTCTCGGCCAATGCAGGGATCGAACACCCGACCTCCAGGCTAGCGAGCTAGCGTCTCACCCACTTAGCCACGTGATCCCCTTGGTATAGAGCCCCCTTCCAGAGCCCATCACTAGCGTCCTCTGTCGTCATGATGTTCAGGTTCGATGGAAAAATGTTTTTTTGACATTTGTTTTGCAAAATTGGTATTTGGAAACTTGTTGTTCGAGAGTTGTTTTCGTTGTATGTTTCTGATGAAATGTAAATGTATTTATTTTTAAAGTTTCCTAAAAGAAATTTTATAATTATAATAAAATATAATTAAACAAAGATGCGATTTACAAATATGATCGGACAAATGTCTGATTTGTGAAACAAATAATGATTATAAGATACGAATGTTAATCATAGTATACAAATGTCGAAATACCACAAGTGGAGAAATAAGAATTACGGACTATGAATTAAGAAGTAAGAACACTGAATAAAGAGCTGTTTGGTCTTCCATAACATACACACACATCCTATTTATTGTGCTGTATATAGCATTAAAATACAGATGTGACGTCACCCTTTGATGTTGGCGTACCATTATTTCAAATAATTGTACGGGCAACTTGCCAATCGTACCTTGTCAAATATTAGACTCGAGTGACGTATTTCACTGTAAACGCACGTGCGGAGTGTCTGTATTTTAAGATGTTTAATGGTCTCGAGCTGAGACATTGCGTAATATATTGTAAAAACACTCGGACCTGACGGTCCTCTTGTTGTTACAATATATTACTTAATGTCTCGCTCTCGACCATTAAACAATACGTAATATAAAACTTGGATTCAATTAAATAACGCTTCTTTGTAATTGTAGTGCACAGTACCACTCCCTCTGACCTGTATGTATGATGACCTAAAATACGCGCGTCGCTTGAAAGAACTCGAATAGTATAAATATTCAGTTTTTGTGTATGCATTCATTAGAAATAAAGCATTTCGTGATAGATCTACATTCCACCCCAATAACGAACATGAGTCATGCCCCCATTATCACCACATATTTTAAATTTTAAACTGATGATTTGTTCTTTTTGGCATTCAGATATTGGTCAACAGAGTATGTAGCCAGTGTGTGTGTGTGGGGGGGGGGGGGCATCGAAATTCTGAACACTGGTTCTTAATAATTATCTGCAGATAACCCATAAAATTTGCAATGACTGATTATTAGAATTTGAACACCACATCTAATTAGTCGTATAGGAATCCCAGGTACTTTATCTAAGCATCACGGTCAAACTCAGTGAAGGTTTTGAAGTACCTAGTAGTGAAACTACACACTACGCTTCATCACTCTCTATCCGTTAGAATCAGAGTTATCTTACTAAAGCATCGATCAATGAAATTGCTTAGTTTTAGCGGGAAATGTTAATCATTTTTTCCAAAGTATCAAGCAATCAAACTGATTATCAACTATACACTAAGTTT